GTGAGCCACGGGCCGGCCCGATAGCTCATTTCTTTTTATACTAAATAAATATTCCATTACATGGATGTACCAGTTTGTTTACCCATTCACCAATTGAAGGACAGCTTGGTTGCTTCCAGTTTTTGGCAATTAGGAGTCAAGCTGCTATAAACATTCATGTTCAGGAATTTGTGTAGAATGTAAATTTTTAACTAATTGGGTAAATACTTCAGAGTATGACCGGACTGTATGGTTTAGTTTTGTAAACCATACAATAAACTGTCAACTGTCTTCCAAAGTGGTTGTACCACTCTGCATTTCCATCAGCAATGAGTAGGAATTCCTGTTGCTCCACATCCTTGTATTTGTTATTGTCAGTTTTTTGGATTTTAGCCATTCTAGTAGGTATATAGTAGTATCTCGTTGTTTTAATCTGAAATTCCCTAATGACATATGATGCTGAGCATCTTTTCATATGCTTATCTGCCATCTATATATCTTCTTCGGTGAGGTGTGTTTAGATCTTTTGCCCATTTTTTAATCAGGCTGTTTGTTTCCTTATTGTTGAATTTTGAGTTCTTTGTATATTTTGGATACAAATCCTTTATTACATATGTGTTTTGCAAATATTTTCTCCCAGTCTGTGGCTTCTTTCTTCATTCTCTTAATAGTGCCTTTTGCTGAGAAGTTTTAAATTCTAAAAAGTCTAACTTATTTTTTTATTTCACCAATTATGCTTTTGGTGTATCTAAAACCTCATTGCCAAATCCAAGGTCACCTAGATGTTTTCCTATGTTACCTTCTAGAATTTTTATAGTTTTGGGTTTTACGTTTAGGTCTAAGATCCATTCTGAGTTGATTTTTGTAAAAGGGGTAAGGACTATGTCCAGATTTTTTTTTTTTTTTTTTTTTTTTTATGTGGATGTCTCACTGTTTCAGCACCATTTACTGAAAAGATTTGATCAATTTGTCTATTCCTTCACTGATATATGCTATCTTGATTACTCTAGCTTTATACTAAATCTTGATGTTGAGTAGTGTCAGTCCTTCCAACTTGTTCTTCTTTCTCAATACCATGTTGGCTATCTGGATTTTTCTCCTTTCCATATAAACTTTAGAATCAGTTTGTCAATATTCCCAAAATGACTTGATAGGATTTTCATTGGGATTGCATTGAATCTATAGATGAAGTTGAGTATCACTGACATCTTAGTAATATTAGGTCTTTCTATCCATGAACATAAAATATATCTTCATTTATTTAGATTCCCTGTGATTTCTTTAATTAGTTTTTTAGTTTTCCTCGTATAAATCCTGTGTATTTATTTTGTTAGACTTATGCCTATTTCATTTTTGGAGGGAGCTAAATGCTACTTTGCTTTTAATTCAAATTCCGACTCAATTCATTGCTGGTATAAAGAAAAGCAAATGACTTTTGTATATTAACCTCATATCCTGCAACCTTGCTATAATCATTTATTAGTTCTAGGAGTTTCCTTGTTGATTTAAAAGACTTTTTAAAGGTCAAATTTCATAACATGTAGTTTCATATAATGACTTAGAGACTCACCTTTCAAATTTACATTCAAGTGTGTGCGGGTAAAACACTACGATGGCTGGGATTTGCTTTAAAATACTTAAAAGAAGAAGAAGTTGATGGGGAGATGACACAAGATTGCCAAAACTGAAATTAAGGAAGCTGGGTGATGGGTTGGAATCTGGAATTTCATTACACTGTTTTGGAAAATTTCTAAAATTAAAAATTATATTTGAAGAATAAACACATTATTTGAGATTATAGAAGAAGTTTCTTTCTATCTTAAATGGTAAATTTTTCTTTCTCCCTAACATTTCTCTTCTCTTCTCCTAGAAGGTATTTAATACACTTTGAGGGAATAACTGGTTGAAGAGATGGATGTGTCTCATCTTTTTCTTCTCATCCATTTAAATCTTTAACCTGGCACCAGGAATAGACTGGAACTTAACTTCACAGAGGGCCAGAAATATGATGAGTCTGTGTGATGTCCATCTCAGTACCTTACATGTGTTTGCTGATAATACTATAATTTTATATTTTGGTATTATTCTCCATATAAGGATCATGGTGAGAGAATTAATTCACAACTTCTCATAAACCTCCCATGATGTAGATGTTCTCCCCATTTTATAGAAAGAATTATAAGCCCTTGGAGTTGACCACAATAGTACAGAATAATAGAACCTCAGAGTTGGAAGGGAATTTAGAAGTTACTAATTCCAAATTCTTTCTAACTTCATAATCCATCCAAAACAATGATCCATTTCATTCATTCAGGCACTTTTCTAGGCACTGGGGACACAACAGTTAAAGAAAATGCAAAAGTTTCTGTCCTCATGAAGCTTACATTCCAGAGACAGGTAACAGACAAATAAAAATATGTCTGATGATAATAGGTACTGATGGGTCTGATGGAGGAAATAAAGGAAAAAAAGCAGAGAAAAATCATAGTGCCAGAAAGGTGGACATGGGTTGCAATTTTAAATACAGTCATCAGGGAAGGTCTCAGTGGTAAGGTGACACATAAGCAAAGACTTGAAGGAGGTGAGGGAGTAAGCCATGAAGAGTTCTAAGGACAAAGAATTCTAGTAGCGGAAAGAGCAATGACAAAAGCCCTGAGATGGGAGCATGCCAGTGTTCCAGGAACAGCAAGGAGGAGGCATGGCTGGAACCAAATTGGGAGGGGGAAGTTGAAGTCGGAGGTAATGAGAAGCCAGAATGTAGGGGGCCTTGTAGGCCACTGTAAGAACATTGACCTTTATTTGGAGGAGGGAAGCTTGAGTTTTAACCGGATCACTGTATCTATAGGTTGCAGAAGAGACTTCAGGGAGACAAGAGCAATAGTAAGGAGAACAGTTAGGGTGACACTGCAGTAATCAATGCATGGTAGCAGTGGAGGTAGAAAAAAGTGGTCAGGTTCTAGAAATATTTTGAAGGTAAAACTGACAAGATGTGCTGATGGATCAGATACAGGGAGTGAGAGGAAAAGGTAGGTGTCAAGGATGACTCCAGTGTTTTTGGATAAATGGAACTTCCCTTTTCTGAGAAGACTGAGGGAGGAGCAGGGTTGGGCAGGAATAGATGAAGATAGGAATTTGGTTTTGGACGAATTGAGGTTGAGAGGTTTACTAGCCACTGAAGTGGAGATATCAAATGAGTAGCTTGTTATATATGAAACTGAAGTTCATGGGAGAGTTCCAGGCTTGAGATAATAGTTTGGGACTCACCAGCATGTAGGTGGTAATTAAATCCTTGAAATTGAATGAGGTCACCTTAGTAGTGATGCAGAGCAGAAAAACACAAGGACTGAACTCTGGGGCACTCCAACATTTGGAGGTTGGGAGTTGAGACGAAAAATAGCAATGGAGATTGAGGAGGAGTTGCCAATGAATTTGGAGGAAAACCAAGATAGAATGGTATCCTGGAAGCCAAGGAAAGACAATGTTTCAAGGACAGCATGACCAACTATGTTAAATGTGCTGATAGGTCAAGTAAGATGAGTAATGAAAACTGAACTCTGGACTTAGCAATGTAGGATTACTGGTGATCCTGAATGGAAGGCTCAAGAGTGACTGGGAGGAGAGGAAGTGAAGACAGAGAGCAGAACAAACTCTTTCAAGGAGTTTTGCTGTAAAGGGATGTTGAGGAATGCGGCAGTATCTAGGGGGGAATTGTACAGTCAAGAGAAGAGTTTTTTTGTTTTCATTTTGCCTTTTTAAACCAGAGAAACTACAGGATGTGTGCATGTTGATAGGAATGATACAGAAGACAGACACATAGAAACAACAGCACAGCATGAAGCCTTTTGGGATGCAAGATGATTTCTAAGGGCAACAAAGACATAGATATGGCTGATATTATTACAGTTTATTGCCTATGGTCATAATTAAAGGAAAGGCAAACTTAAAGTTTGAGGTTAGTGAAAATGATATGTAATTTTTTCCCATCCAAGGTCATTAGACCCGCTAGTTTTAGGGTATGATTATGAGAGTACATGGCTGAAGTAGGGTGGATAAAAAGATCATTGCAGGAGGGAGGTAAAGGGATTGAGAGGCTGGGGTAGGAGAAATCATGTATGTGGACAGTGACACATCCAAAAATTCTGGAACAGTAGTCTTAGAGAAGGTGACAGTGAACTGGGAACTAAATTCTCAGCCTTGGCCTGAATAAACAACACCTGAGACAGGGCATCTACAATGCAGAAGGCAGCTTCTTCTACATCTGGACAGTGGTAATTATAGAAAACTTCCTTATTCTGAATTAAATTCTACCACCCTAATACTCCCTGTATTGCTCCTAGCTCTGTCTTTTAGAACTATTCAGACAGTTCTTGAAGCAATTGAAGACAGTTCCAGGTGTTCTCTTTTCTAGAGAGAACATCATCAGGTCTTTCAGCCATTTCTTATACATCATGATTTGCAGGACTTTCATTATTTTGGTTGCTCTCTTGGGCTACACTTGATTTGTTTATTTCCTTGGGATGAGAGAGTCAGTGCATGACCTTCTGACTTCCCTTCTGCTACTCAAATGACTATGGGTAATTAACAAATACTTTATTTGGCCAAGGTGGGTATGGGTACAACACTGTTACTGAACAACAGCAAAACATCTTATAGAACTTATACAAAGAGGGCGGGCCCGTGGCTCATTTGGGAGAGTGTGGTGCCGATAACACCAAGGTCATGGGTTCGGATCCCTATATAGGGATGGCCGGTTAGCTCACTGGTTGAGCGTGATGCTGACAACACCAAGCCAAGGGTTAAGATCCCCTTACCGGTCATCTTTAAAAAAAAAAAAAAAAAAAAAAGAAGTTATTCGAAGATGTTTCTCCTTTACAATCTGAAGCCTCCTACTAGCTCTGCTAAATTCACTGTGACTAATGTTATGTCAATGGAATTACTGACAAGAAAGAACATTACAGTGTTAATATATCTAACACACAGCAGAAAAGACTATGAATTAGTGCATCACAAGGAGTACTTACAAGAATATCGGTATTTTCAAAATAATTTCTCCAGTATGGTCTGATTTTCCTTTGTCCACCAATGTCCCATACATTCAGTTTAAAACCTTGTGATTGTACGCTTTTTATGTTAAAACCCTGAAAGAGAGGCAAAAATGTTAAGTTTTATTAAGCTTTGAGGTCATAATTCTGATAAAGTTACATTTATCAGCTATGTCTTTTATTAATTCTGAGGTACTCTCCCAGATGTGATACTGTTAATACTGAAAATGGTCTACTGTGATAGGGAAGAAAGAAATATTCTTATTTTATTCATGTTGTAGAGAATGCATTTCATGAGCAATAATAAAAAAATCTTCTTGCAAGAATTACATATGAAAATACATTCTTATTTCATTCATGTTGTGGAGTCAGTGTTAATAATGTCAGGACTAACATGACATTTTGTATAATAATGATAAAAAATCTCTCTCTCTCTGTATATATAAATAGATATATAGATAGATATAATTGCTGACGACAACTCAGTATGAGAATAGCTCTGATGAACAACTAATCAACATAGAACACATGCCCTGATGAGTTCTCAGGATGGTAAAATTTAACAGGACATTACATGTGACTAACAAAAAGTGGAAGCTAAACAAATTCTAAGTTTCAAAAGAGGCAAGAGATACAAATCTGGAGGAGTAGATTCTTCAAGAGCAGCTCAAAATAAATTTCCTCATATGGATTCATCAGGAAAAGGAGGGAGATGAACTGAGGACACTATGGGGGAGAGACAGGGGTTGTAACTGAGTGTTAGCCAGCAGGGAGGCAGGGCCTGCTAGAACGGCATGTTCAAGCTCTGAAGTGGAGCCCTTAATTACAGACATAAACAAACAAGCAAATAAGTGATCATTTGAAACTGTGCTATAACAGTTATCTCTGATGAACTTGAAAAGAAAGTATTCATTTTTTGGACAGTTACTCAAGGTGGAACTTTGAGGAATGTGAGCAAACAGGAACATACAGAATTGCTCGGTGGGATTTAGTGTGGTGAGAAACAAATTAACCAGAACTTTTGGGTTTGTAGAGAATGCATTTCATGAGCAATAATAAAAAAATCTTCTTGCAAGAATTACATACAGAAAGCAGAATGTGAAAAATCCAGTCAATAGCTTGCTACCATGGAAGAGACAGTTCATCCAGAATAACTGGAGTTCAGTAGGTCTGGGGATGCTCCCATAAACATTTGCTTCATCTGGCAGCTTGTCAACATTATTGCCTAGCACAGAAGAACAAGGCACAGTGCAACGGTACAAGAAGACAGTCACCCAATCTCCACTGAGGATAAATAGTCACTAGAGGATAACTGGGGTTGATGCTGACTACCATTCTTCTAAAACGCCAATGACTGAATAAATTAGAGTTTTTTTGTTTTTGTTTTTTTTTTAAAAGATGACCGGTAAGGGGATCTTAACCCTTGACTTGGTGTTGTCAGCACCACGCTCACCCAGTGAGCTAACCAGCCATCCCTATATGGGATCCGAACCCGTGGCCTTGGTGTTATCAGCACTGCACTCTACTGAGTGAGCCACGGGCCGGCCCTATATTAGAGTTTTAAAACTCTAAAGGGAAATGGCTTAAGCTTATTGTAAAAGGCAGCTTTATTGTGACTCAATGACAAAACTACTTTCGTGTATTTAAAAATTCTATGCTCAACAATGATATTAAATATCAAACCCAGTAATATTGAATCCTTTCTGGAATGAAGCAAGAAATAAATAAAAGTAAATCCTAGAGTTTGACCAGATGTATCCACTGTCTTAACCTTCTTTTTTTTTTCTTTTTTTTTTTTTTTTTCCCGTGTCTGGCAACGGATCGCAACCCTCAGTGTTGCCCCCGCACCGGACTGGGACCGGCAACGGGATCGCAACCCTCGGCATTGCCCCCGCGCCCCGCCCAGCCAGTGAGCGGGAACCGGTCTGTATGTGGGATCCGAACCCTCGGCAGGAGCGCCGCCGTGCTTCCCAAGCGGCGCACTAGCGCAGTGCGCCACCGGGCCGGCCGACTGTCTTAACCTTCTGAAAGTCATTAGACCTAAAGAATCTAGTAGGAAATTATTCTAAGGAAATAATAATAGTGAATGGGTACAAATATTTAGAGATGTGTATTACATAATTATTTACTTATATAACAACATAGAAAGATGTTCAAGATTCATTAAGTCAAAAAGATACAAAACATTATATTCTCTACAAGCCATTTTATTTTATATTTTAAACATACCCTATCTATCTATCTATCTATCTATCTATCTATCTATCTATCTATCTATCTATCTATCTATCTATCTATCTATCTATCTATCTATCTATCTATCTATCTATCTATCTATCTATCTATCTATCTATCTATCTATCTATCTATCTATCTATCTATCTATCTATCTATCTATCTATCTATCTATCTATCTATCTATCTATCTATCTATCTATCTATCTATCTATCTATCTATCTATCTATCTATCTATCTATCTATCTATCTATCTATACACACACACACACATACACACAGACATAAAAACTGAATGGATACATTCCTAAATGTGAACAGTGGTTATATCTGACTGGACATTATAGGTGATTTCTAGTTTCTCAATTTTACTTATTTATACTTTCTAAATCTACTACAATGAGCATCTACTACTTTTTCTAATATGAAACAAAAACACAATAAAAGTTTATTTTTAAAGAATAAATATGAAACCTTGACATAATATAATAACAGTGTCACCTATAACACATTAAACAAAGCCTGAATGTTAGAATTGAAACTTTGGTTCATAACTTTGGGTTCATTTCTATGTTTGTAGTGTGGAAGTCTGCATTTTAGTGTTCTTGAGAGATACAGTCTATCACTAATACTAAAAAAAACCCTAGCCCTTCTTTTTCTGGCAGAAATCCTGACATACTAATATGTGTTTTCAGCCTTTCTAGGCTAGACTACTGTAATTTGCTCCTCGTTGGGCTATACATTAAATTTGTTCACAAGGTGTAAAATTGCTCATTTGATAGTGGTTGAAGTGATTTTTCTGCAAAGAGTTGCAAATCAGTAACGTTCATAGGCTGTGAAGTACACGCACCAGCAAAGCCATTCAAACTTGACACCAAGGCCTCATCACAGTACAGTGACAGAAAATGCTAAAGAACTCTGATTTTGCTAGAAACTCTAATGCTCAAGTACTTTAAAGTAACTAAGACCAATAGGCTGTCCCTGTTGGCATGGCCAAAGGTCAAGTTTTCTCAGGATTTCCTATGGGGAATGAAGTCTAAAGAAGCCTACTAGAATTCTCCCAATCAGGATGTGTCTTTAAACTTCCACACTGTCATCATCGCCACTGCCTTATCCTTTGTGTTTTGCTTGCTTGGCCTTACGGAAGAGGAAGATTGATGAGGCCAGATTTTTAAAAATAGGTAATTATTTTTTTATTTAAAAAATTGAAACACATTTATATTTATTAAGTTTGAAAAATACACACTAAAATATTAAGTACTTTTTCTCAGAGTACTCTTTAGTTTTTTCTTTTATACTTTCTCTGTATTTTCTACAGGTATTGATTTTATAATCAGGAAGGATAAGGCTATTTTAAAAAATAATACAGGGGGCCGGCCCGGTGGCGCACTCGGTAGAGTGCGGCACTTGGGAGCGTGGCGGCGTTCCCACTGAGGGTTTGGATCCCATACAGAGACCGGTCAGCTCACTGGTTGAGCGCGGTGCGGGCGCGACACCGAGGGTTGCGATCCCGTTACTGGTCACGAAAAAAAGACAAAAAGGACAAAAATAATAATAATATAGGTAATCTCTTAGATATGAGAGAACTGATTTTCTTGATATATATATATACACACACACATATATAGATATATGTATACATATATATGTAAATATGAATATATATATATATATTTTTTTTTTTCTTTTTTTCCTTTTTGTCATTTTTTACTGACCGGCAACGGGATCGCAACCCTCGGTGTTGCGCCCCCACTGCGCTCAGCCAGTGAGCGGGAACCGGTCTCCACATGGGATCCGAACCCTCGGCGGGAACGCCGCAGCACTCCCGAGCGGCACATTCTCCAGTGCGCCACCGGGCCGGCCCGTGAATATATATTTTAAATGGTGGTAGAATATACATATATAACATAAAATGTACCATGTACAGTCCAGTGGCATTAAGTACATTCACATTGTGTGCATGCATCCACAGAACTTTTTTAATCTTGCAAGATTAACTCTCTATACCCATTAAACAATAACTCCCTATTCCCCCGTCTCTCCAGCTCCAGTAACCATTCTACTTTCTGTCTCTATGAATTTGACTACTCTAAATACCTCATATGAATGGAATCTTCTGCTATATTTTTGAAATCTGATCATTTTTAGATTGTATAGACTTTTCTCAGAAGTAAACATTAGAGGTAAACAAAACTGTTTTTCCACTAGGGTTAGTTTCCACCCTAACCCTAACCCTTTTTTCTTTCACACTGTTATTACCATCTTCATTGTGTCACGGAGCATCTAGCGTCAAGGCAGTGCTCACCTGTGTAGGTGTGATGTGGCTGATGTCTTCAGATGCAAGCTGTTTTAGAAGAGTAGTCTTGCCAGCATTATCCAAGCCCAGGAGAAGGATTCTCACCTCCTGGTCCGGTGCACTTTTCAATTTGCGCAAAATTGAGAGTAAGCCCTTAAACAACCATGAAGGAGAGAGATTACTTCGGGGGTACTGACTTTTATATTACTGGACATCAGAATGACTTTTTCTCCTTGAAAAAGTTCTTGGTTATAGAGAGCTTACATTATTATTTTCCACTCTAATGCCATTTATTCCATTTGCTTCCTCCTTCCAAGTTTTGGCAGAAGTACTATAGTAAATTCAGCAACTTAATAAGTAGCCTGGCTTACTACTGCTCCTCCTATTAATCCAGCTTAGCAGTCACCCCAAATCTCCTGGGAGTATGAACTACTACTCCACCTGTACTCCTAAAGCCTTTTACACATGCTTACTGTGGAACACTTATCACATCAGACTAAGTAATCGATGTTTTAAATTTTTCTCCTTTACTAGAGTGAAGTTTCTTGTGGGTAAGGACTATAGCTTCGGTCTCCCACAATGCTTGGCATTTGTTAGATAGACACGAGATAACTGCTGCCAAATTGAATAGAATTATCCTATCAAGTTAATGCAAGATTTTAAAGTGCTATAAAAGTTACAAACAGGCTGTATAAAATTGTAGCTGAACTCTGTTTAAGACTTTGTCTATTTCAATTCATGTTTAAGACTTCTTCATTCAAAATACTCTACCACGGGCTGGCCTGTGGCTCCCTTGGGAGAGTGTGGTGCTGATAACACCAAGGCCACTGGTTCGGATCCTATGTAGGGATGGCCAGTTAGCTCACTGGGTGAGCATGGTGCTGACAACACCAAGTCAAGTGCTGCAATCCCCTTACCGGTCCCCAAAAAAATAAAAATAAAAAAATACTCTACCACCATCTAACTTTCACAAGACCCTTACAGGATAGGTACAAATTATCTGTTTCTCAGATGAAAAATCTGATACAACAAAGAAGTTAGGGAACTATAAAAGGCACTCATGAAGCAAAAAACATCATAATTTAACCAGGGTATTTTTGACTAGTAATCTAATATTTGTTTCTTGTTTTTATTTATTATTATTTTTTATAGGGGGAAACAAACCATGTTGCTTTTTAGCTAAGAACATAAGAAAATTTTTATTTGATAGTTATTTGTTCTGTCCTACACTTGACAATCTTGTACTAATAAGGAAAGGCTACAATGAGAATCAAAGAATCCCAGAGTTTAAAGGGCATGTAATCTAATCTCCCAGCCTGAGTAGAAATTCCTTCAAACCGAGTCTTAGAATTATATAAAATGGTTGTATTTGTTATCCGCATTGCAGTAGGCAATAATTCAAATCAGTATGTTCACTAAGATCAAATAATACTTCTGTGAAATAATTCTCAACAACTGGCTCTTTGGACAATGATATGCAAATATGCATAATTATTAAGAATTCCTTTCTGCCTTAGAGACTCTTTACCACTTTAAGTACTGTATTTGCACTGACTTGCTAAAGACCACACTAAACTCTCCATACCTCAATTTTTTTCCAGCAATAAATGGAACTTTTAGTCTAAGACAGAAAGACAAATTCTATGCCAAAAGATTTGGGGGAGAAAGACTGAATAGATTTGAAACGAACAAACAAAAGATAGGCAGGACTTTTTTAAGGCAGGACATTTTTTTGCTTTTGTTTTTATCTCGTCTGGCCTTGAATACTTTGATACCATTTCTTCTTAAAACTAAATTTATAAGCAGTCTCCCTGGTTTCTATTAGCTCTTTTGCAATCACTCATTTATAATAACACCTTTCAGAACAGTTAAAATTACAATGCTGAGATCCTCAGGGAACGGGTGATAAAAAAAAAAGGCTAAGAACAGGGAAAACACACTGTACTACCCATCCTGATTTCCTGATTGTCTGTAAAAAGAAAGGGTCTCATTGTCCCTTACAATAAACTCTAAAACAACTGGAATTTACCAAATTAGCACATTAAATAACATACAGGTAAAGTTCATGTATTATCTACTAGTGTAGAAATTGTGAAGAAAGATCTGTTTTCTATAAAATATTTTCAAAGTTTAAAATTAATGTTTTGGGTTATCTCAATGTGTCTCTTCTTTTTTTTTTTTTTTAAAAGATGACCGGTAAGGGGATCTTAACCCTTGACTTGGTGTTGTCAGAACCACGCGAAGCCAGTGAGCGAACCGGCCATCCCTATATGGGATCCGAACCCGGGGCCTTGGTGTTATCAGCACCGCACTCTCCCGAGTGAGCCACCGGGCCGGCCCAATGTGTCTCTTCTTAAAGTCACTAAATAATAATATTATTTTCTGCAGACTGAGACTTTTTACACACTCATTATATTTGAAATTGAATAATTGAGAAAAACATAATTTCTATTTACCTTAAAAGAAGAGAAGCCAAAAAAAGATGAGAAAGAAATCATTCTAACCATAGATAAACTTCGTTAACCTAATGATACAGAATATGGTACTCCTACATTTCTAATGAGTAACTTTCCTTATTAGGAAACAATAACTTCGATGCTTAACCTTTGAGAGAAATTACAGAGAGGTGGAAAGTTCAGCTAATATTTTCTTCCAGCAAAATGATAAATGGCATCTCAAGCATGGCCTAGGGAAGACAAGTACAAATACAATACAGCATCATATTAAGCCAACTACTGAGGACAGTGGATCATAGGATTATCAGGGTTTACTAAATAGGGAAGAGGATATTTATAGATACTAGGGTTCTGCCTGAAAGGTACAAAGTAAGCTGATTTAAGACGTTGGATGAAAGAAAGGAGAATAAGCCTATTCTATGCTTCTAACCATATATGCCCATACTTTATTTTAAATGTCAAATGAAGAGAGACAGCCATTAGAAGTTAAATTTATTATGGGGCTGAGTCTTGTAGTATTCATACAATGAAATTAATTTTTAAAGTGTATTTTTGGCAAAAACATCCATTCATTCAATTATCATTAAATGCCTGTAACCTGCATGCACCAAGAACAACAGTGAGAAAAACGGACATGATCTGTACGTAGAATGTACACTTCTATGACATTAAGGAAAGGCAATTTAAGAAACAAGAACTTCAGTTCATTGTATATTGTGTTGCCAGCATGTGTGTATACAAGTTATCTGCACCCTGGTGGACAGAAGTGGTCTGACTCAGCCACAAAACATTTAAACAAACTTTTCTACAGGCAAATCATGAATACATGTGTTATTGACTACAGATATTTTATCTGCCTCAAAATCAGCTTAAACTCTACTACTGGCAGAGGCACATGTAGTGAATTAAAATGGTACTAGCTAGCTCATTCAAAGAAATGAGATGGTGGGGGGAAAGAGGAAGGTGTTGGTATATAAAAAATATATATGGCTGTGAAGAGCAGCTAAAATTTAAATATTAAAATTACTGAGGCAACTGTCAAGTGCATACACTCCCCATACTTAGTTTAAATGGAAATGACTTCAATTTATTTTTACCTCCTAAAACTGAACTTCTATAGCTTTGAAAAGGAGAAATTCATCTAAAGTGTCTTCTTTCTCATCACCTTTCTACTAAATAATGTTTCCTGGAGAAAAAATATGGGTATCTCCTCAGGAAGAGCGGGTTCCCATTTCAGCAGAGTCCTGATGAACAGAACATTATGTGTAACTCTGGCCACAGTTTCATCTAGAAAATGGGAACAATAATATTTTTATCTCAAGAAAAATGGTATGAGGATTAAAGGAGGTGAGTAACCACTCAAAACAGTAATTGTGTTTATTTCTTTTAAATTTTTCACTGACCATTTCTGACCAGAAAACATAATTACTGTTGGGAACAATCTTCATTGTTGAACATGCTTGATAACTAGCACAAGCTCCATAAGTAGAAAGTACACCATAAATAATTACTGAATGAAGGAGTCATATATTAAGTAACAGTGATTAGTTATGGGCTAAAATAACCGTCATCTTAGGATTTCATCAAGGACTTGGTATCATAAGACAGGGGTAAAATAGATGACCCTAACTAAATGTTCAGAGAAACCCATAATGGGCTTTTGTTGCAGTAACCCAAATTTTAACAAAAATTAATGTATTAGTCACAGCTGAAGTTAAATAAAACAAAAAACAAAAACTCAGGGCTCACTCTCCAGTTGTATGGTTAACCAAGGGGGCTCATGGGATACCAGCAGTAAACACACTTAATCACACCACTGAAAGTTTAGATCCAGTGTTCCACTTCCCATTCTAAAAACAGCTCACACTTTTGGAGACAGAAAAAAAAAAGTATCTGGGAAACCAGATAAAGAATCCAGAATAATTTGTCCTAATTTCTTATTGTTCATTTTAGGAAAAAAAAAAAACAACACCAATTCTGTTTTGATCATTGAATACAACAGTGTATATACAACGCTGTCAATTTGTTGTATACAATGCCAATTTGCACCTGGAAACATGAGCAGTGGCTAATTTATTGTGGCCTGTAATTATAAATTAAACAATCATGAAATTACACAGTCCACTTAATTGATAAACAAACTGGGAAAAGTTAGCCAACTCTCATGCATTTCTCATCTATAATGACAAATCTCATTCTCTGTTGGTTTGGCATGTCTTTTTCATTTCAATTCTAGTTATTTTCTGTGTAAATAGTTATGTTTGTATTCATTTGATGAGAACAACTTAGCCTTTAAATGGACAGCTCATGTATAAACGATTAATAGAAAACATTTGTAAAAATCTGTTTAGCCTGAGGTTAAAAAATGTGTTTAGCCTGTGCAAATTTAACAAGTGTGAAATGTGATTAGCAATTTTAGATGAGATAATTCTACTTTTTTCACAATCTGACAATATAAAATCAATTAAAGTGTTTTTCGTATGAAAATTTACTCACTGGATAATCTAACCAAAGGTACATGTATTTTTCCTGCTGGACAGCTAGCTTTTTCTTCTTAAATCAATAGAAATGGCTCAACATTTTTAAAACTCAAAAAGGGACTAGGGGGTGGGGTGGGGAAGTAACCATAAATTTGATTACTGGCTTTTTGCAGTTGGTAAACCAACCGATCTAATCTAAATGCCTCAAAATCAATTTTTCTTTGACTAGCTCTAAAAATTAATTCCATTTTAACTCCCTCCAACTAACTGCACAGAAATCAGCAAGGAACAGAATGTTAATGGTCTTATCGGTCACACATAATTTACAATTAGGGTTGACAAAGAAATGCTTCCCCAAAATTGATGCCCACTCTTCAGTTTTAATCTCTCATTCTTTTTAGTTTGAAGACCCCAAACTGGGATTAAGACCTTTGATCCTGGTGTAGACACGTGCAATTGGGGGGTAGCAACAGGTTTCGAAGGCAATAGTAGGGACCGGGCAGCTAATTTGCCTCCATCATCAATGATTAAGTATTGAACGAAAAACCGCTCATCACCAACAACCAGATCTTGCAGAACTCTCAGCAAATGAATAACTCGGGACTGCAGAAGCGCACTCGCCACGCAGACACCGAGACGGCGTCAAATCCACCGGGCATCCCTTCCGAGCGACACCTCTTTGTGTCCTGGGATTTAATCCCCACCCCCAGGGGCCCGCACATCGTAAGGAATAAGAGAGCTAGGCTACCATCTCCCTCGGTACCGCCAGGGCGACCTCAAAGACAGTAGCGCCGGCCCTTCTCCCCGTTTCTGGCCCGGCCCCAGGCGGACCCCAGTTTCCTGCGGCGCGGGAAGGCCGATTCCCTGGGAAGATGTTAGTCTGCGTGCGGAGGCTGCTCTGCACAGCTCCGCAGATCCGCCCTCATCCCAGTCCCCAGAGTAGTGATGGAGCCCGAGCTCTGTACGAGGCCAACCACGCACTCTGCCAGCCCCTTCCCCAAGCCCCGGACGGGTCGCAAGCCCCGCCTTCCTCCCCAGGCCCTGGCTTTCCCTCCAGGGTCCACTCTCGGAGCTCCCTGCCGCCCCCCGAAACCAATCCAGGACCCAGACAGCAGCCTTAGTGCCGTCCCATTCCCTCCTTGGCTTTAAGCGGAGTGCCCCGCCCTGGGCCGGGGGACGAGAGGGGGGTGACCGGCCGGTTCCGGAGGGGCCCAGGCCCCCACACTCACCATCCTCCCGCCGAGTCCCTCCTCCTCCTCCTGCCTCCCCGTTACCAGGGGCAACTGCTGCGGCACCGCCCCCGACGTCCCTCGCACGCACAGCGGAGGCGCAAAGCAGCGGTACAGGGCGGGGCTCAGCTCCGCTTTCCCCAAGTGCGCAAGCGCACCCAAGTGCCCGCCCCCTGAGCAGGCGGGGGCTGGAGCGGCTGGAGGCGGGGGCTGCCTTGCCCAGACCTGGGGATGGTGAAAATTCGCTCACGCGACTGGCAGGAGCCTCCCGGCCTATGATTGGTCGGGAAGGAGGGGCGTGGGGACGCGAGGGGGCGGTTCTCGGGCGCGGGGCCGCTGTACACCCTGGCCGGGCTTCCAACGCGGGCTACATCTGGTGGCGATTGTCTCAGTGCGTGCCTCCTGGGACCAGGTAAGGGGCCTTGGGAGGAGGCAGTCCGCTACATCTACCTCCAACCCGCTCTCCCCTGGAGAGCGCTCGGGTTTCTGTCCTGACTCTGCCCAGGCAGGGCTGCGGGGCGGGCCGAACTTCCACCTGCAGAAGCCACGTGGCGCGAAGAGTGCCCTGGGGATGCCATGGGCCCCTCGCCACGGACCCCCTTTGCCTTCGATTGATAGGCCCAGGTGGGGGGCGGGCGCACCCATCTGCACACTCTGTGTCAGAGTCCGGCATACGGGGAACCCGGCGAGAGGAGGCCGCCTGTCGGAGGGCAAGAAGTGGTCTGGGGATTGGCCCTGAGCTGTGAGGAGGAGCTGACAGCAGAGGTGAACGGCATTTTGGGATCGGCCGGGTTATGCTAAGCTAAGTTGGACGGGACGGTGCACCTACACCGTCTACAGACCAGGAGACAGAAATGGACCTGCACTAACAGCCAAGGAAGAGAGAGAGGGGTGTGTTGGAAAGTGCTACCTCCCACCCTTTTCCCATGCACAGGACCTGAGAAGAGTTAGTACATATGTGCCAGCCCCTTTTCTAGTCGCCGGAGACACAGCAGTGGACAAAAATCTGCCCTCCTGGAAATTTCATTCTCACAACCCTAGGAATTGGTTATCTTAAGTGATGGAGTCTGATGTTGAACCAACTTTTACACACTGTTTACACTGTGTACTGTGTTGCTTGTAAGCACTATTGTCCAGGTAGGAGGAACAGAGTGGTTTATATCTATGATGTAAACCGAGAACGTTTAAAAAGCTGATAAAGTCTGGACACAGATACACTTGGAAGTTTGCTAATGCGTGTGTGCCTATTACCTACCTCACTGGGTTCTTGTGAGGGTTATGTGAATTATTATATGTCGAGTACGTAGAGCATTGCCTGCTATAAAGGAAGTGCTATATAGGGGTTAGCTGTTCTTAAGTTTCATCTAAGTTTTTGGGCTTCGCACCTCTTCCTACCAACAAGCTTTCGTTGGAATGAGGGTACATTTTCCCTGAATGGTCCTTAGCTATTTATGCATTCAACTAAAGTATTTTTAAAACATCTGCTACTTGCATACCTGCTTCAGATCCTTAGAGAGAAAACTTAGTTCAGAAACTTGACTAAGGAGGTGCAAGATGTTTAGTTTAGAGCATGCACCCTGATAATCTACCCATTTCTAGACTGTTGGGTTTTTTGTGAAAAAGGCAAGGCAGGTTTTTCTGAGTTGTCTGTGTCTTACATCATGTTTGGCTTGGAGTCAGGTGAGCATCCATAAGCATACACCTGGCTTGTTTAGTTATTACTCTAATTCTCCAACTTGTTCTAGGCAACCTGGCCTCAAATTCTTGCCTATTTCAGTGTCTGACCTTCTAGAGGTTTTGGTTGCCTTGACCTTCCTCTGTTGTGAGTACCAGTGATGATGTTTTTCTCCCTACCTGGGGCTACAAACAGGGAATTTTGGCCACTTTTCTCCCCTTGTAAGAGGATACCTCAGAAAGGGTTTGGAAGCCTGTTCTCTGAGTTCTCGTATCATTTTCCAGAGAAAATTGGCTCTCTCTGGGAAGAATGAACACGACTTCAGGGGAGGTATTAGTCTATTTAAATTTTTTTTCTTTTCTTTTTCTTGCTTGCCCTTTCCTTTCCTTCCTTTTCTTCCTTTCTTTCCTTTCCAAATAGGCTGTAGTGGGTAAAGGGCCTGTCTAGGTGGCTCTAAGCCTTGTGACTTTGGGGAAGTAGGGTCCTAGCTATTGTTGGATTTTTGGGGACTGGATCTATTTGTTGTTCATCTTCATATCAGCCACAAGCACTTAGTTCAGGGCTATGTGTGCCACAAATGGTTACCATGCTGGCTCAATCAGTGTGAACTTTTTTCTAGGCTTCAGTTTCCTCTTCTAAACTGAGATCTTGGATTCCTAATGTCTTTGAGCCGTGACATTCTCTAATCCTAGAAGGCTGGTATCAGTTAATCACCTGTTTGATTTCCACCTCCCACCTTCTTCCTAGTAGTGGAATCATAATTCTTCAAAAGTAGGGCCACCCTGGACTCGGTGGTGACCTTTCTAAGGTGGACTAGATGAGGCTTGTATGGGAGGACGGAGAGTGATTATGGGAGAAAATGTAGAGACCAGATAGGACTCAGTATAGTCAGGATTACCATCTGTAACTATGAAAGAAAGCCTACTCTTCTGTAACTGAGGCAAGGGCTGAGTTTAATTTAAAAGAGGTGACATCTGTGATGCCAAGAGAACGCACGATTAAGTCAGAATGCATTTCAGGCAGGCAGTAAATATTTTTAGAGGGCATATGAAACATGCAGCAGTGAACATTACAGACATAGTCCTGATGCTCATGAACTTTACAGTCGGTCAGGGGAGACAGACTTTACACAAATACAATTGTCCCTCAGTATCCATGGGGGATTGGTTCCAGGACCCTGTGGATATCAAAATCTGCAGATGCTCAAGTCCCTTATGTAAAATGGCATAGTATTTGCATATAACCTCTGCACATCCTCCCCTATAAATCATCTCTAGGTTACTTATAATACCTAATACATTCTTTTGTATTTGTATTATTTTTTATTGTTGTATTGTTACTTTTCATTTTTTTTTCTGAATATTTTTCATCTGTGGTTGGTTGAGTCCACAGAGGGCCAACTGTAACTGTAAATGACAAGAAGGTGACAATTACAAGAGCCCAGTGTGCTGCAAAGAAGGATGCTGTGAGAATATATAACAGAAGGACTTAAGTTTGCCCTGAAGGAATCAGGGAAATATGCCCATTGGGGGACAGTGGGTATGGGGGGAAACGTTCCAGACAGATAGTTTAGATTTTTTTTGGCCTTATATTTTATGTAAGACAGGGACTGTGCAATTTCTATCCTAACTTCAATTAAGATAGCAAAGGTTTTTACATAACTTAGCAAATGATTACTTCTTCATGGTAGAGATGCTTTCATTATGAGAAGCAGAGGACTTTGCAAAGTTGAGGGTGGAGAGAGATGTCAGGGGTCAGGGCCGTGTGTGTGTGTGTGTGTGTGTGTGTGTGTGTGTGTGTGTGTGTGTGTGTGTGTGTTGAGGGGGAGTCACAGCATTTTGCTCAGTCAGGCTGTCTCCAGTGTGAGCCTGGGTCTCTGTAAGCCAAGGCAATCTCTTTAGCTTCATGTAAGTCTGGGAAAGTGAATTCTTTCCCCTCCTCCCACTCCCAATTCAGTTGGGACTTAGAGAAATGCCTTTGGTCTTTAAACCAGCCTGTAGGAGGCCAAGTGGAGTGGAGGAGGTGGAAGTCAGAATTTTGGCAGTGCACACTCCCTGCCTGCCTCTGACTTCTCGAGATTACCACTTCACAGTAGCATCAGGGCCAGGCATCTTGGGCCTCTCCTCCTCTCCTGGGTCCTTCCTCTTAGGAAATGACTTAGCCCCGTAAGTCAATCTCCTGAAGTCTCTTCCACCCTAACAAAAAATCTAAAAATTGACCGCTGATCTCCCTTCCCCCACTCGTTGGTTCCTCCCATCTCCCATCTCTCTGGTTGTTCTTTCTCCTCTTTCAGGTCTTGGCTTGCCTCTTAAATGTAGTGATTTTTCAGAGTTCGTCCTCAGCTGTCTATTCTTCCCTTTTGGTGTATTTTCACTGGAAAACTTTATCTTAAACCACCTGGATACTGCTGATGCCATTTTTTACTTCTTTTTTTTTTTTTTTTTAAAGATGACCGGTAAGGGGATCTTAACCCTTGGCTTGGTGTTGTCAGCACCACGTTCACCCAGTGAGCCACAGGCCGGCCCAGAAGGTGAATATTTAAGTTAGTTAAGGTGGTATTTTATGAAAAAAGACAAATGACCTAGTAGTAGAAGATATAGAAGTAAATCTGAAAATTATTTCTTAAAAAAAAAAATATGTAGGTGATGAGTAGGTGTTATTTAGTGAAAGGGGGAGGGAATAACATTCTTGATAGGGAACAACTTTTGGAAAGGACCTGAGACAGAAGGCAGCCTGTTGCTTTTCTTTTTTTTGGTGGCTGGCCAGTTCCAGGATCGGAACCTTTGACCTAGGTGTTACAAGGCTGTGCTCTAACCATCTGAGTTAATTGGCCAGCCCCTACTGCATTTAAGAATGTTTCAGGGCACTTGAAACTCAATGTGTGAAAAATCAAACTCACTGTTTTCTCCCTTAAAGCTTATTTTTCTCTATTCTCTGTCTCAGCACTTCATTGCTCAAGTCAGAAACCCTAGGTATCACTCTAGATATTTGTGATGTGTCTGCTTGGTTAGTCTAAACAAGACTCGCAGGATTCCCTTTCTATATTTCCAGTTATAGTGGGCTATGAGGGAGCGTATGTACACCTTCTTCCAGTTCTTCAGTCAAACACTAATCTAGGTGCTGCTGTGAAAGGATTTTTCAGGTGTAATTAAAGTCTGTCATTGGTTGGCCTTAAGTTAATCAAAAGGGTGATTATCCTGGGTGGCTTGACTTAATCAGATGGAAGCCTGAGACTTTGAGCCATGATGGGCCCTTGTTGCTCTCCTGTCCCCAAGATCTGCTGTTCCTGGCTGCCTGGCCTGCTGACTTCAGGCTTGCTCAGCCAACCCCCACAATTACTAAGACAATTAGCTAATTCCTTGTAATAAATCAATTTTTAGGTATTGATCAATATTATACATATTTATATATGTAGAGGACATATGTGTATATATATATATCTCTGTGTGTGTGTACATCTACATATATATATTTATATATTTATTTACTAATTCTGTATCTCTGGTTGAACCTTGACTGGTACAATACCCAATGGCTTAGCAAATTCCTAAGATTCTACTTCTTTAAATGGTTCTTCCATTTTGGTCCTTTTCAGGTCCATCTAGGTTCATTTGAGTCCCCCTTCTTGCCTGGATTGTTACAGTTCCTTTCCAGCTGGTCTCCCTGCATTCTCTGAGGTCCTACCACACCCTGTTTATTCTCATATGATTGCCCTGAGTTTTCTTTCTAAACTGTACATCTGATTTTGTATTCTTAAAGTCTTTTAATGACTTCCTGAAATTTTCAGACAAAAATTCAAAGGCCTCAGCTTTTTAAAATATGACTCCATTTCTCTCCTCTCTTAGCATATAAATCATGCTTCTTTTGGAAATTTTAGTTTGCAATATACATTTACAACGAATCCAAATCCACTTTCAAATAACAGTATACCACTTCATGGTAGTGCAAGAACCTTATAACAGAGTATTCCCAGTTCCTCCCTGCATCCTTTATATCACCGCTGTCATTCATTTCACTTATCCATAAGCTATAATCACCAAACACATTGTTGCTATTACTATTTTGAGCGAACTATTATCTGTTTGTTAACTGTTAACAATTTAGAATGAGAAAAATATTTTATTTTACCTTCTTTTATTCCTTCTCTAACACTTCACCTATATAATTTTCTTTCTTTTTTTTTTTTTTTCCTTTTTGTCTTTTTTCGTGACTGGTAACGGGATCGCAACCCTCGGTGTCGCGCCCGCACTGCGCTCAACCAGTGAGCGGACCGGTCTCTATATGGGATCCAGACCCTCGGCAGGAGGGTCGCCCGCGCCACCAGGCCAGCCCTGTAATTTTCTTTCTGAAGAACTTCTTTTTTTTTTTTTTTTTGTCTTTTTCCATGTCCGGCAACGGATCGCAACCCTCAGTGTCGCCCCCGTACCGGACCGGGACCGGCAACGGGATCGCAACCCTCGGTGTTGCGTCCGCACTGCGCTCAACCAGTGAGCGGACCGGTCTCTATATGGGATCCAGACCCTCGGCAGGAGGGTCGCCCGCGCCACCAGGCCAGCCCTGTAATTTTCTTTCTGAAGAACTTCTTTTTTTTTTTTTTTTTTTGTCTTTTTCCATGTCCGGCAACGGATCGCAACCCTCAGTGTCGCCCCCGTACCGGACCGGGACCGGCAACGGGATCGCAACCCTCGGTGTCGCGTCCGCACTGCGCTCAACCAGTGAGCGGACCGGTCTCTATATGGGATCCAGACCCTCGGCAGGAGGGTCGCCCGCGCCACCAGGCCAGCCCTGTAATTTTCTTTCTGAAGAACTTCTTTTTTTTTTTTTTTTTTTGTCTT